AATGATCAGGACTTGATAATGGTCCTGGACTTGATAATGGTCAGGACTTGATAATGGTCCTGGACTTGATAATTGTCCAGGGCGATTTGATAATGGTCCAGGACTTGATAAGGGTCCTGGACTTGATAATGGTCCTGGACTTGATAATGGTCCTGGACTTGATAATTGTCCAGGGCGATTTGATAATGGTCCAGGACTTGATAAGGGTCCTGGACTTGATAATGGTCCTGGACTTGATAATGGTCCTGGACTTGATATTGGTCCTGGACTTGATAATGGTCCTGGACTTGCTAATGGTCCTGGACTTGATAATGGTCCTGGACTTGCTAATGGTCCTGGACTTGATAATGGTCCTGGACTTGATATTGGTCCTGGACTTGATAATGGTCCTGGACTTGATATTGGTCCTGGACTTGATAATGGTCCTGGACTTGATATTGGTCCTGGACTTGATATTGGTCCTGGACTTGATAATGGTCCTGGACTTGCTAATGGTCCTGGACTTGATAATGGTCCTGGACTTGATAATGGTCGTGGACGGACCGAAACATCGTTACTTCCGTTATTATTAGATGTGTGGGTTGGGTGGTCTAATATGGGTTCTGTGGTGAGCTTGGTATTGTGGTGAGACAGAGAAACGTTCAGTAAATATCGAGGATTTTATTAATATTCGTCAAAATGAAACAAAGTAATAGTTTGCCTCGGTATTTATCTTCTTGCTCTTTTTATCTTCTATTTTATCTATCTATTTATCTTCTTCCTCATCTTTATCTTTTTGCCTGAGTGCCTCTTTGTCCATCTGTGTCGTCAGTACATCTCTGTCCATCTCTTGTCTGTGTGCCTCTCTGTCTATCTCATCCATGAGTGTCTTTCTGTCCATCATTTTAGTACCTGTCTATTCATCTCCCGCGTCTCCTCGTTTCTCACTGTTCCTTGAAATCTTTCACTGTTTAACACATCTCGACACTCAAAATGGCCGCCGCTTCGTCCACGACATTTTACTCAGAGCGAAAACAGCCAGGAACCCGAGGCATCTGGAAGCAACATTCTTAGAACCTCCCCTAAACACTAGACGCGTTTTTCCACCCCCAAAAACCGGGCAATCTGCCGTCAGGAATGTGAGTAATAAGTCTACAATGCAAATATATGCGAAGAAGCTTTGAATTTTATTTGCATCTTGCCCATTCCCCTCTTCTTTGATGGGGATCAGAAGCAGCGATCACCGTCTCCTTAATTGCTGGAGCGATCTCAGACGGTTCTCGTAAATCTGTATTCAGATAGAGGAAGCTATCCGTTCTTCCCTTAATGACCCGGCCCTTCAGCTGCCCACATGCTGCCTCAGACTGGCTTCTAAAAAAACACACACGCACAAAAAATTAGTTTTTGTCCTAGATTAGTCCTTTTTAGGAGGAGAAATGGTGAAATTTAGAAGCGGATCTTGTGTCTGTAGCAAAGGTTAAGATTTTGGCCTCATATCTGCGATGGTTTTCATTTCAATGAACAAATACACAAGGGCCGTGACGGGGATTCGAACCTGCGTCCGAGAGCATCCCAGACGCTGCCTTAATCGACTGAGATACGACATGGAACACATCACGCAATTGTGATTTTTGTTTCTCATTTCCTTTCGCATATTTTGAAGATAAGAATATTTGCAATCTGTATCATAAGTCTCATCGTATTACATGCGCCATTAAAGGGATCACAGATCCAATTAGCAGACGCAGGTAGTGATGGCAGTAGTTTGGATGGTGATGACAGAGGGATGATAGTGATTGTGATGAAATAATGTGTTGGGAATATTGAGATTGATTGTTCTTTAATGTGATGGTGAATCAGGTCATCCTGGTAGAGCATTATTTCTCTAGGTGACAATCGGCTCTCTCCATTCAGAACTGTCCGAAGGATGGTGTTATCTTTAACTGTTCTTCTTCTCTTACTTGTAGCGAACAGAAGCCCTCATCGATATGAGTTAGCTAGTCGGATTTTAATGGGTTGAATAGTCATTTTTACTTCCTTTTTTTATATCTCCTCACTTCTCTCTTAGTATTTCCCCCTTTCTCTCTTTCGTTCTCTGTCTCTTCCCTTGTCACTATATAATTCCTTCAATTGTATATTTCTCTTTATCTACCTCCTCTCGTCTCTCTCTGTCTCTTTCTCTCTCTCTCTCTCTCTCTCTCTCTCTCTCTCTCTCTCTCTCTCTCTCTCTCTCTCTCTCTCTCTCTCTCTCTCTCTCTCCTACATAAAGGTCGTGTCCCTAAGATAACGATGTTAGCTCAGAATTTTAACACCTGCTTTCGGGGTTGTAAATTCCTTATTATTGCCCGTGTAAGAAGGGGTCTTTCTTGTGTCATTTGCCCAAATGAGATTCAAAGAATTATCTCCCAAACAAAACACGAATCAATTATAAAAATTAATGCCAGTTGCTTCCGCAAGTAGAAAAAAATTTAGAGACGAATTTTGAGAGACAATTCTCTAGATTTTACAAGACAAATGAGATACAGCTGATTAATCGTCTATCTAAGATGGCCACCTGAGTCGTAGTTGCGGTGTTACAGAACGAGGTCATTATCTTGGGTAATTAGGGAAGCATGCACGAGGTGTATCGTGTCATTGCACAGGTAACGAGTGGTTGAAGGAAGGGTTTTGTTGGCTGGCTGGTGCAACTCGGGGCTAATTACTGCAGCGCTAACGACCATTAGACAGCCCTTCTTCCTGCCAATTGGACGGCTAGTTTGGAGGTGAGCGGTTTGTCGTTGGAGTGAGGAATTTTTATACCCCCGCCCCCCCCCCCTTCCCCTTCAACCACCTCCTCTCACGGATCCCCACCTTCATAACTCCCCTCATTCGCCCACTCAATGCTCTAGCCCACACCTTTCTTCCATTAACTACCACGCCCCGCCTCTCTTTACCATCCGCTACTACACGCCCACCCCACCCACTTTCCCTACTGCTACTCACATCCTCCCCCCATCTACGTCCCCTACTGCTACCCACATCCTTCCCCATCCACGTCCCCTACTGCTACCCACATGCTTCCCCACCCACTTTCCCTACTGCTACCCACATCCTTCCCCACCCACGTCCCCTATTGCTACCCACATCCTCCCCATACTGCTACCCACATCCTTCCCCATCCACTTTCCCTACTGCTACCCACATCCTTCCCCACCCACGTCCCCTATTGCTACCCACATCCTCCCCCATCTACGTCCCCTACTGCTACCCACATCCTTCCCCATCCACGTCCACTACTGCTACCCACATCCTTCCCCATCCACGTCCACTACTGCTACCCACATCCTTCCCCATCCACGTCCACTACTGCTACCCACATCCACAGTTTTAACCATGCTTAATCATTAAAAGTCTTGTATATTTTGTAAACTCAAGCAGGACAAAATTTAAAAGAAGAAAGTATCAACTTTTTCTCAAAAAAGTGACCACAGTAAAACAAGAGAGAGAGAGAGAGAGAGAGAGAGAGAGAGAGAGAGAGAGAGAGAGAGAGAGAGAGAGAGAGAGAGAGAGAGAGAGAGAGAGAGCATAGACTGCACCTTCTTGTTTCTGAAGTCATTCCGTCTCATCTACCAAAGCGGGCAATGTACTGGTTTGAAAAAGCAAGCAGTTGGAATATCTAAGAAGATATTAGGGTGGAAAACAAACTATTTCATGGTCAGGAGGCAGGACGTTCAAAGCCATACGGGAGGCCTCAGAATGAGAAGAGGAAGACGAGAGCTGTACCACAAGGATCTCAGCTTGGGCCCACAATGATCCCAGCTTGGGCATACAAGGATCCCAGCTTGGGCCCACAATGATCCCAGCTTGGGCATACAAGGATCTCAGCTTAGGCCCACAAGGATCTCAACTTGGGCCCACAATGATCCCAGCTTGGGCCCACAATGATCCCAGCTTGGGCCCACAATGATCCCAGCTTGGGCCCACAATGATCCCAGCTTGGGCCCACAATGATCCCAGCTTGGGCCCACAATGATCCCAGCTTGGGCCCACAATGATCCCAGCTTGGGCATACAAGGATCCCAGCTTGGGCCCACAATGATCCCAGCTTGGGCATACAAGGATCTCAGCTTGGGCCCACAATGATCTCAACTTGGGCCCACAAGGATCCCAGCTTGGGCCCACCTTCTACCTAATACCCGAAGGACGTCGACAAGCTCAAGAGATGGTCTGAAAAATAGTTACTTGCTTCCGTAATTGCAAAATGCAAATTTGCAAAAGTCAGGGGAAAAATAACACGAGAACAGGAGTTCCAGAAGAAAGCGACATGATATGAACATGCACCATTTTAAAGACAACAGCTAGAAGAGACAACAATGCATAAGGAACAGCAGCAAATACAACAAATAACCGATGTTGGAAAAAGGGGAAATCAAGAAGAACGAAAGAAATTCAGAATAAAAAAATCTTTAAATAAGCTGAGAGACTAGAAAGAGGGGCAACTCAAAACGAGTCATTACCTCTTCTATGAAAAGGTCACGAAACAAGCACAAATAAGTACCATCAAGCAAGCATATATATTCCAGTATTAAACCAGAAAAAAACCTTTAGTTCAGTTACAGATAACATTTCCAGAGGCTTTTGTGATCTTACGCTTCTTCCCTTCGTGTCGAAAATCGAAGTGAATGTCCTATTAACATTCTGTCACTCAAGGTGAAGGCGCGAGAGCGAGAAGAATGCGCCAAAAAGAGGAAAAAGGAAAATTATTTCCAATCAAAGCTCCTCGTCACCCACTCCAGACACTGTTTATGAGGTTCGTCGTCGATGTTTACATTAGTCGATACATCCTTGCTCGCTGATTGGCTCCCCGACCCTGACCTTAGCCCCGCCTACTATCAATAACTACCAATCAGATGATTTATTGCCCAGGAAAAGATGGAAAAGCGGATAGTGGTGTGAGAGGCTGTTAGTGGGGAAGTGTTAGTGAGGGTGAGTGTTAGTGGAAGTGTTAAGGGCTAGTTGGGGTGAGGGTTAGAGGGGCGACGATGGTCATCCAGGTAATTGGGTAGTTAGGCTCGGAGATAGTGTTTAACGGATAGATGTGTGAGAACCTTTTTCTGTTACTTAAGTCTTCTACCTATCGTACCTATTCGTCTTGTAGAAAAGACAGGTAAACATTGTATTATAATGTATTCAATGTTTTTCTCTGCGCTTACCTGGAAATGAGGAAGAACTCTTCTTGTTACTGAAGAAGTCAAAGAGTAAACGAAGGAGAAGAGGAGAATAGAAGAATCAGAGGGAAAGTGGATGAAAAACAGAATTACCAGCACCATCTTCTCCATAACATCTAGCAACAGAAACGACTAACTTCAGGGGGGCTCCCTGAAGTTAGCAGCCCCTGAAGAAGGCTGCAGTAACCCCCCTTGAAGAAGCACTCCTACAGGAGCCTCCCTGAAAAAAACGCTGCACCCCCTGACTGTTACGTTTAAGCTCAGCTATGAGCCTAAAATGAGCCTGAGCCTAGGTTTAGGCTCAGCTATGTTTGCTCTTCCTGCTGATGTAGACCTAAATGTAAACTCTCTCAGCAGAACTATTCATATACTTTGCGTCATTATATAATAAAATGTGAACAAAAATATCGAAATGAACAAATCCACAAGGGCCGTGAAGAGGGTACGAACCTACGTCCGAAAGGATCCCAGACGCGGCCTTAATCGACACAACTACGACATGGTGAAAAGAATTGCAACCGGGAAATCATCCTGATTTATATCTCTATCAATCAGGATGTTCTATATCTCGGAATATAGAGACAACACCATCAATGGTGTTCAAGAAATGTGTAAGTACTTCATTCATAACGATGTGTCGACAGGAATCTTAAACAAGTATCAAAAAGAGGGCTTACTGTAGGTGCAGCCTGCACATGACTGTAAAACTGCCGCCCAGTTGGGTGGGTGTGGAGCACTGACTGTGTGACAGACTCACTGAAGTACATACAAAAATATGAACTGTATATACAGTTCATATCTCACTGCAGATGTGAACTGCCTTGTACAGCGACTGTTGTAGGCCTCTTTTTGTCTTACTTTGATATGACAAGTCATATATATATATATATATATATATATATATATATATATATATATATATATATATATATATATATATAATATATATATATATATATATATATATATAATATATATATATGTATTTGTGAAATGAATAAGAAAATTGTGTAACTAGCTTCTTAAAATTTTTTACTTGCTTAGCTAAAGGAACTGTGTACGTAACAGACATGAGGATAGATTGTTTCTAGCGTAGGTTTGACATATATTATAGTGACTTTAGTTGCATATAAGTATTAGCTACCTCACAATGGCCAATAAGCCTTCTGGAGTTTCAACATTTCTTAAGTAATGTTCTTATTCACCTAAATTACTTAGGGATAGATTTGGCTAAACGTAGTTCGTTAGCTCATACGTCAGGCTGCGAGCAGCCGCGTCTAACAGCCTGGTTGATCAGTCCAGCAACCAGGAGGCCTGGTCGACGACCGGGCCGCGGGGACACTAAGCCCCGGAAGCACCTCAAGGTAGCCTCAAGGTAAGGTAGTTGAGGGGTAGTTTGGCTTTGATTGTTCGGGCAGTGATTGTTCTAGACCTCCCTGGAGACTACGACTACTTCAGAGAGTTCGTCAGAATTATCTTTAGACCATAGATAAAGCTGATTAGGATTAATTTAATTAAATTTACTTTATTTGGGCAAAAGTGTTTTTAATTATTGCATGACGTTACAGCCAAAAATATATGAAATTAGTTTTCTTTGGACTGGTATACAGAACGACGGCCTTGCTTCCTGCAAGGTCGGTGTTCGATCCCCCGACAGTCGTACAGATCTTTCACCCTATCCACACACATTCAACTCCTATTCCTTTGAAATAGTGTATAGCCATACTGCCTTATCGTTTTTCTCCTCGTAACTACCTCACCTCAAGTCCCGACCATCGAGCGACGAAGTACCAGGTAGAATGGACGGAGAGAGAGAGAGAGAGAGAGAGAGAGAGAGAGAGAGAGAGAGAGAGAGAGAGAGAGAGAGAGAGAGAGAGAGAGAGAGAGAGAGAGAGAGAGAGAGAGAGAGAGAGAGAGACAGAGACAGAGAACAAAGCGAGCGAGACCTCGAACACAACCAAGGTAATATCCGGGCTGAAATGACTTGTTCTGTTAGGCTAGCAACTCAACCCCTAATTTCGTCCCTACTTCCCCCCCCCTCCCCTCATCCCTGTTATCCTTCCCCCCCCCCCCCTCCCCCTCATCCCTGTTATCCTTCCCCCCCCCCCCACCCGTTATCTTCCCCACCTCGCCCTTGATAATTCCCCGCACCGAAATTCGGTACCATCTTAGCAGGGGAAGGTTATAATGACATCTTGGTAAAATATGGTTGGAAGCGCTTAGGGAAATCACCTAACAAGTGCTGACATACCCAAGAAATAGTCCACGACTACCAACACTTTTGTATAGTCAGTTGTGGTCTAGTGGTTAAAGTGCTTGATACGCCATGATTCATAGTGCTCCTGGCTGTCTGGGTTCGAATCCTTCTGGGGGTGGGGAGTTATTTTATATTTATCCATATATTTTATCCCTAATTTATCACTATCATCAAAAGAGGTCATGCAGGGGGGGGGGGAGGGAGGGGTAATATGGCCAGTTGTGACCCCATTTGACGGTTGGGCTCGAGCTGTCAGATTTCTAATTATCCCCCTTCAGCTGTCAAAACACTCCACGGTGACATCTGTCAAACAGACCTCTCTCGTACGACACCCACACACCCACCCACACACACGCACACACTCGTATCTTCCACTGTCGCATTCTTCCATCTATCCCAAACCCATTCCTTTTTCTATCTCACCCCTTCCTCTTCTCTCTCTCTCTCTCTCTCTCTCTCTCTCTCTCTCTCTCTCTCTCTCTCTCTCTCTCTCTCCTCTCTCTCCTCTCTCTCTCTCTCTCTCTCTCTCTCTCTCTCTCTCTCTCTCTCTCTCTCTCTCTCTCTCCTCTCTCTCTCTCTCTCTCTCTCTCTCTCTCTCTCTCTCTCTCTCTTCCTGCCTTTTCCTGCATTTCTGGGACCCATCACTGCGGAGGTTCGCAAGATGTCGAGCTGAACCCTGGTGGAGGAGAACATGTTGGGCACGCGTGCAGGAATTAACCAGGCTGTGGTTCATATATCAGGCTGCGAACAGCCGCGTTCTACAGCTAAGTCAGCCAGTCCTCGGCCCACAGCCAGTCCTCGGCCCACAGCTAAGCCAGCCACTCCTCGGCCCACAGCCAAGCCAGCCAGTTCTCGGCCCACAGCCAGTCCTCGGCCCACAGCCAGTCCTCGGCCGACAGCCAGGCCAGCCAGTCCTCGGCCCCACAGCCAGTCCCCGGCCCACAGCCAGTTCCTCGGCCCACAGCCAGTCCTCGGCCGACAGCCAGGCCAGCCAGTCCTCGGCCGACAGCCAGGCCAGCCAGTCCTCGGCCCACAGCCAGGCCAGCCAGTCCTCGGCCCACAGCCAGTCCTCGGCCCACAGCCAGTTCTCGGCTGACAGCCAGGCCAGCCAGTCCTCGGCCCACAGCCAGGCCTCGGCCCACAGCCAGGCCAGCCAGTCCTCGGCCCACAGCCAGTCCTCGGCCCACAGCCAGTCCTCGGCCGACAGCCAGGCCAGCCAGTCCTCGGCCCACAGCCAGGCCTCGGCCGACAGCCAGGCCAGCCAGTCCTCGGCCCACAGCCAGTCCTCGGCCCACAGCCAGGCCAGCCAGTCCTCGGCCCACAGCCAGGCCTCGGCCGACAGCCAGGCCAGCCAGTCCTCGGCCCACAGCCAGGCCAGCCAGTCCTCGGCCAACACCCACAGTGTTGAAGGCATCACCAGGAACAAAAACATTAATGCTTCACTATTAGGTGTGTCCCCCCGGCCACACACCTGAGGTCTGAAGACCCATCTCCTCGCTACCTGGCCAGACACCAAGCACCTTGTCAGAATACTTCGCATGGCATAGTTATGGAAGCAATGGCTCTGAGCGATGGCCTGTGGGTCCCCTTATAACACGTTTCGAAATGGTTCGAGGCATGTAGCGGGGTTTGGTGGAGGAGTGAGCGATGTATTGTGGGTGGGGGTGATGGGCCGCCCACCTAGGCCAGACAGGGAGGTGGGCGGTGTGTTATGATGGAGTACTGGTTAAAAATCAATTTCCATCAATACCTCTGGCCTCAGGG